CCCAGCACCCCATTTTGCCCCCAAGATGCTTGGTGTCACTCAGAACTTTCCTCTCTGTGGAGCTTGAGTGGGAGAGCAGCCTAGGCCCTTCCTGCTGCCCGCAGGAGCCCTCAATCTGTGCCGCGTCTGGTCTGTGTGTGACGGGCGGAGTGCCATCTTAATGCTGGGCGCCAGCAGCGATCGCCTGTGAAATGTGCATCGGATGCAGCAGCGGGGCTCTTCCCCTCCTAAACGTGCAGCGTTCCCCACTGCGTGTTTCTTTCCCGCATCCTGCGTGTCTCAGGGTGTCTCTCGATGAGCCTGCTCCATGCTGGACGCAGGTGGGTTGGGGTGTGGGTGGAGGTGGTGGCTGGAACAGCCCCGTGGCAGTGGGGCTCCAGGGGATGGCGTCACCCGCGAGAGAGCTGGAAGGTGGTGGGGACTTGCAGGGGACAGCAGCGTAACGAGACCCACTAGACCAGCCTTTGGTAAGGGGAGGAGGCTCTGAGTGGGCGAGTTCCCGGCTCAGCCCTTGCTCTGTCATCCCACACACCTACCCCCCACCTCCTTCTCTGTTTTGTTCTCAGTGGTGGCAGCTCGAAGGCTGCCCTGCACAGGTGAGGGGTGGGGTTGGGGAGGGCTGCTGCTGGCTCAGCCCACCTGCCTCCTGCAGCCTGCCTGTCCCCATGGTAACAAGAAGGCCTGGGTCCCTCTGAGACAATTCCTCCCTCCCTCCCTCTCTCCCTCTCTCCCTTCCTTCTTTCCTTCCTTCCTCCCTTCCTCCTTTCCTCTCTCCGTCCTTCCTTCTACCTTCCCTTCCGTCCTTCCTTCCTCAGTCCACCACTCACCTTACCCTTTCAGGCGTCCCAGCCTGGGCTGGGGGCTGCGTTCATGGAGATGGTGGTGACAGAGACCCCTGCCTGCCCTGGAGGAGGAGACCAGATGGGAGAGGGGCCACTGGTGCACCCTGCCCCGGGTCAGGCATCCAGAGAAACATTTCTCCACGCCCAGTAAACCGTCTCCTGAGACTCTGGGACGCTGGTTTATTTGCTTCCTTTCTTCTTTTCGCATTTTCCATTTACCCTCACAAGCAGGTGTGACTTCTGTCATTGGGAGAAAACAAGCCAAATGTTCCAAACAAACAAAAGCTTCCTCAGGACAGAGGTGAAGTCCACTCCCAGGCCCCAACTCCTTTCTCTATTTTAAAAACTTAATTAATGCATTTATTTAAAGAACACACTCAGGAGGAATACTTGTTTATCATATAATACACCAAAAAAATCATGCATGATGAATACCATTACCCAGACTACTGTTAGCATTTAGAAGTCATGCTTATAGACTGAGCATGTGTGCATGTGTGCGCACGCGTGCACACACACACACAGAGCACAAATACCACACACACACACTCACACCACACACGCGCACACACACGCACACCAACACACACGCACAGCACACACACACCACACACGCACACGCACATGCACACACACACACTCACACCATACACACACACACACACGCACATGCACACCGACACACACGCACAGCACACACACACCACGCACACACATACACCACGCACGCACGCACACACACGCACACACATGCACACCGACACACACGCACAGCACACACACACCACGCACACACATACACCACGCACGCACGCACACACACGCACACACATGCACACCGACACACATGCACAGCACACACACACCACACACACACACATACCACACACGCGCACACACACACATGCACACATACACACTGACCACGCACACACACCACACACACACACACACACTGATTTGCCTTTTGTCTGATAACACATCCCTACTTTTCCACCCAATAAGGAGTCAGTGCCTCTGGTCCTTATCCTCAAATATTGGGCCCTAACATTGTCAACACTGGTGTCACGGTATTTCCTGGTCAGCCGGGCCCAGGCCGCAGGCTAGGGTGCTGAGCAGACATCTCTTCAGGGCCCCTTAGAGCCTTGATGTGCTGGCCTGCGGGTGTAGCATCGATTATCCCTCTGCCCCCAAACTCACTCGGCCCGAGCCCCGCTGTAGTCCTCTAGGACCACTGATGAACAACTGGAGGGCACTGTTTCCCGTTCTGAATGTCTTTATTGGGCACCACCTCTGGGTGCAGCTCTGCCCTGGGGCCTGCGGACAGCAGAGGAGGGGACGGCGCTCAGTCCTCCTGAGGCCCAAGCCCTAGATGGAGCTAGACGGCGAGACAGAGCGAGCAGGGAGCCTTGCCACCCTGCCGCAGAGACCCCGCAGGGACCCCGAGCGAGAGTGAGCATGTTCCAAGACAAAGGAGGAGGCTGGGTGGACAGGTGGGGTCAGCAACGGGGAGGGACAGGAGTGCGGTCAGGGGCTCTGGGAGGGGTGCAGGTCACGCAGTGCTTTGCCAGCGTAGGGAGGAGATGCGTCTTCTTTCAGGGTCAGGTAGCCCCCGGAGGGTCTCAGGCTGCAGAGAACCGGGGGAGACTGCAGGCGCCAGCTGCTCTCACAGCTGCATCGCGCCTGCCGACGGGCTGGTTAGCTTCTCTGTAAATGCTGTTTGATCCATGCACTCTGATGATTAGGTCTTGTAAGGTCTGGATTCGCTTCTGGTCGTTCAAAGAGGAAACTGAAGCTTTGAATCGGGCAGTAAATGTACTGTGTAGCCACGGGGAGCTGGCCGGCCTGGGCTGGAGGACGTGCATGTGCAGCTCTCCGCAGTGTGGAATCCGGGAGGGCTTGGAAAGCAGGTGGAGGCATGGCCTTTTCTCCAGGGAATGGACAAGGCCATGGACAGGTTCAGGGAGGAACAGGGGATGCCGCCTCGGGGGTGCGAGGCACCTCACAAGCCAGGGCCAGTCCCTCTGTGCTTCTCAGCCCTGAGGAAGAGGTTGCTGGTCCCCTCTGCAGGGCGGGCAAGGTTTCTGGAGCCTGGCCCCGGCCTGCATGTCCCCCACGGCAGCTGCAGTGGGACCTGCTGAGCCCCCCACTCTGACCTGTTGGGGAATAGTGTTTGCTCCGTGCCCCTGGAGGCTGTGCGCCTGTGTTCCTAATGAGCCTTTTTCAGTCTTGTTAAAGATGACAGCCACTTGTCAGAAGGCACAAGACATCTTTTTAAAACCACGCACTAGAAAATCTCATGGGCTTTTAATATACTTTTAAACCTGAGTCATCTGGAGCCCCACCTGGGTAAGGGCCTGGGCCATCTGCCTGGCTGGGGGTTGGGGGGGTTACACTGATGACACTCCCGGTGCTGATGTGTGAGCCCCTTCTAGGACAGTAATTGGGAGGACACGGCCCTGAAAGAGCTGGGAGTCCAGCAGTGCTCCAGTGACGTGGGACTCCCGTCACTGCGGCCGCTGTGAGAGGGACTGAAGTGGACGGTGATTGACAGGAGTGAGGATACCTGTGGTTTTGCCTCCATAAGCCTGTCTTAGTCTGCTCGGGCTGCTGTAACAAACACTATAGACCGTGTGCCTTTAACAACAGACAGTTGTTTTCTCACGGTTCTGGAGGCTGGAAGTCCATGATCGAGGTTCCGGCCCATTCGGTTCCTGGTGAGGGCCCACGTCCTGGCTTGCACATGGCTGCCGCCTCCCCGTGTCCTCACATGGCAGAGAAACAGCGCTGGTGTCTCGTCAGGACAGCAACGTCCTTGTAAGACATCACGGGGCCCCGTGTCAGGACATCGTTCCTTTTCACGGCCGAGTCGTACTCCAGCGTGTGGATGGACCACATTTTGTTAACCTGCTCACCCACTGGTGGACATTTGGGTGTTTCCACCTTTTGGAGACAGACTCATGCTGCTCCGAGCCTTCATATACATGTTTGGTGTGGGCCCATGTTTTCATTTCTCCCGTTCTGTTCTCTTCATTATTCTTCCGCCTCTAGGAATGGAATTGCTGGGTCCTGTGATAATTCTGTACTTTTGGAGACTCTGACAAGCTGTTTTCCACGGCAGCTGCACCACTATACATTCCCACCATTGTACAAGGGTCCCGTTTCTCCACATCCCCACTAACACTTGTTATTTTCCAATTTTTGTTTTGTTTCGTTTTTATTGCCGTCACCCTGGTGGGTGTGAGTTGCGGGCTCGTTGCGGATGGGTTTGCGTTTCCTTAGTGACAGTGACGTTGAGCGGCTCTGACACGCTTCTCGGCCTTGCTGTGTCTTCTTTGGAGGAATGTGTGTTCAAGGCCTCGGCCCACTTTTAATTGGACTGTTTGTCTTTTTTGTTGTTGGGCTGTAAGAGTCCTTCGTGTGTTCTGGATACTGAGCCCTTATCAGATCTGTGATCTGCAAGTATTTTCTCCCATCCTGCACTTTTTAACCTTTCCACTTCCTTGATGGTGTCCTTTGTTGCACAGAAGTTTGTGAGTTTTATGAAGTCCGATTTATCTATGGTGGGTGTCAGATCCAAGAGCCCTCTGCCAAATCTGGGCTCATGAAGCTGTACTCCGGCGTTTTCTTCTAAGAGGTTTATACTTTTAGCTCTTACATTGAGGTCATTGGTCCGTTTTGCGGGGAAACTTTCACTGGCGTGTGGCACCCACAGAGGACTGCATCACACATGTGCAGCTTGTTAAATTTTCCCAAACCGGACACGCCCATGTAACCAGCACCCAGATCAAGAAAGCGTGTGCCCCGCCCCCCAGGCGCCCCCGGAGCCCCTAAGGGCAGCCACCACCCCAACTCTTGCCTAGTTTTGAATTTTGTAAAAAAAGGAATCTGCTCTTTAGTGCCTGGCTGCTGTTCCAAGCGTGTTCTGGATTCTTCTCCCCACCACGCAGGGGTCACCTTTGGGCCTGGTTTCTACCAAAGGCACCAGTGGGTAAGGGGAGGAAAAGTAAGATGTGTGTAATGAATTTTTACCCCATTACTTGCTTGTTCAGGAAAGTGATTATTAATCATTCACATTCGGGAAGCGGTGATTAGACTCCTTCCCGTTTTAGGAAAGAGAGAAACACGGGGATTAGCATCTACATTTAGCAGCTGGCCGCAGCCCCGCCTCCCTGTGGGGTAAGAAATAGTCACTGTGAAGGGAAGCTGGATACAATACTTTGGGGTGATTTGGGGGGAGGGGCGTTGCACCATGTAGAACTAAGCCAAACCAAACAATGTGGTTTGTTTAGGTTATTTCAGTATTGATATTTTAATCTAATTTAAAGGATTTTAAGAATTATAAAAGTAATTAATGCTAATTGAGAAAACTGGACAGTACAAGGATACATAAGAAAATTATTAATCAGTTTTATCCTCACCGCTTTAGTCCCTCCAGCTGGGAAATAGTGTTAGCTCCGCCCCCCTTCCCCTTTCTCCTCTTCCCGCCCCCCCCCAGATACACAGATGAACAGGACCTGCCCCCGCACCCCCAGCCTAATGGGGGTGGCTGAGCCTTCGACCTCTGAGCGGGGGGCTGGTGATACACCTGCTCCCGTAGGCCAGGCGGTGTGGCTGGGTCTCTGCTCCCAGACATGGTCCCCAGCGGGCAGAGCCAGCTTTCACACACAGCACCCTGGGGCGCCCCCTGGATGCGGCCTCTGTGGACGCTCTGCCACGCAGCACACCTTCCAGCCTCCCCTGTGTGCGGGCGCGCTGCTGGCTCGGGGACCGGTACTCGAGTGGAAACCCCTGTGTGTGTTCTCGCAGGCGGGGGAGAAGCACTACCACCCGTCGTGTGCACTATGTGTCAGGTGTGGCCGGATGTTCGCAGAGGGCGAGGAGATGTACCTTCAAGGTAAGAGCACGGACGTGCTGCTCGGCCCCCAGGGCGGGGCGCGAGCACCTCTCGGGCCCCTTCCATGAGCTGGCTGTGAACTGGTGGGTCACATGGATTATCTGGCTACTTAGGAAGCCCCACCGCGCAGCAGGGAGCTGGGGGAGCAGGTCCGGGCAGGCTTCCCTGAGCACGCCCGGCGGGCCGGCAGGCGGTGCCGGGGCGGTGGTGACGGTGGGACAGCTCCTTGAGGACCTCAGGGGAGGACGGGGTGGATGTTGAGACCTAGCCCTTTAGCCACAGTCTCTTTTCAATGATTTCTTTGTCACCAGTGACCCCGGAGGCGAGCAGAGCCAGGCAGGTGGAGAGCCACACACTGCCCCGCAGATGGGCCATTTAATGACCTCATGCAGCGTTATCTGGGGGCTGTGTGCCAGACAGGCCTCCCTTTCTGAGGCCGAACTTCATGGAGTGATGTCAGCTAGGACGGCCTCGTCCCCAGTGTCCCCTCTTGTTCCTTGAGTCTTTGCTGGAGGGCCCATGAAAGGGGTCCTTTGCGCCCCTCCCAGCAGTGCTAGGAAGTCTGGGTGGTGAGGGGTGCCCCTATCCAAGGCGTCTGCCCTCACGGTAAATAGTGCCTTCAGGCCTCCTGATGCCAAGCACAATGGCGCTGGTACAGGGATACGAGCTTGCCATCACGGGGTCCAGTTTCAGGGAACAAAGATGCTCTTCACGGCTCTGGGCTGAGGCTGGCACCCTATTTCTAAAGCGGGTCCTGCCATGGCTTTCTGTGGGATGTTGAAGCCAGTCCTGTCCCCTCCCCCAGCCTCAGATTTTCCAGTTGGTCAGATGGTCAGATGAGCGGTCAGACCAGGTGGGAGGTTTTCCTGCTCTGCGCCATGCAGCACTGGAGTCCCAGGGCCAGGGGCCTTTTCTGGGGGCTCTGCCCCCCACCCTACCTGGACACCCCGAGACCCCGTGCCGAGTCTACCTGGATGTTGGGCTCCGCGCAGGTGCGATTTGACAGGTGAACCATGTAGGGTAAAAGCTCTGAGGAGCAAGGGTCTTAGCGAGCCCCACGAGCCCCACGGCCTCTGAGGAAGATGAGACGGGCACCCCTCCCCAGCACCCCCCCCCTCCACTGGACGCACCTCCTCCTCCATAGACCCTTTCCAAAAAATGTAGGGGTGGGATGTTGACTCTCACTAATGATTAAAATAACAGTTAGATGGTGTTTTTTCCCCAGAAGGGCACGTCCCCCAGCGTTGTGAGGCTTGAGGAAATGGGCCTCCTACCTGGCCGACGGGGGTGACAATTGGGACATCACCAGTGCGCATCAAGAGCCTTAAAAATGCCCACGCCCTAGGAAGTCCTTAAGTGAATTAGACAGTGGAACATCCGGAACGTTACTTAGAAATAAACCACTAGAGCCAACAGGAGAGGAGCAGACAAATAAATTCTCACTTGTCCTCACGATGGAACGTTATACAGCCCTTCAAGTTACGCTTTTGGTATTTAATTGTACGGGTGTGTGTGTGTGGGGGGGGATGTTCAGGACATTTTAAAGCAACAGTCGCAGGATAAGGAGCTGCGTATGTGCACCACGGTCCACACTGTGATACGTGAGTGTGTACTGGAGAGCAGCCCAACCAAAAGCGGGTGGGAAAGTGGGTGGGAGATCACAGATGGAATTTTCTTACTTATACTCTGTTAGGTTTCTTTACTTTTGAATAAGGAACATCTATTACCTTTATAATCATAAACCATTTTTTAAATAAATTGTTTAACACCCTCCACCCCCACCCCACCCTACCCTCGCCCCCCATCATGGTCTGTCTGGGAACCCTGATTTGCCACGAAGGAGCAGTGTAAGTTCATTAGCCCCCATGACCTGGAAAGCTTTGCAAGCAAAAAGGGGTGTAGCTGCCTCCTTCCACACGCTGCTAAGCCCTTGCTATGCGCCAGGCCCCACGCGGCTTGTCTGGGGATGCGAGAGCGGGTTGGACACGGCCCCTACCTCCACCGCGGGTGTGGCACCCGTGGGGCATAAACCCAGACACTGCAGCACAGCCGCCAGCAGAGGGCGCATGAGCTGAGTGTGGCTCGCTGGGGCGGCTGGTGTGGTTCAGGCTGAGGTTCAGGGAGGCTCTCCCTGGAGGGCGGGGAGAGCAAGTGCTCTGGGCCCAAATGATGGGGGGCAAGGAGCTCTGACACACATGAGCCATTTGGAGAAATGTCGTGATGGTGGACCATGTGTGTGTGACGGCGTACAAAGCACCTTTCCAATACCTTATGAGCCCACTTCGTTTTCCTAGAATCTCCCACTGACCTACGCGGCGGGGTTATCATTGGCCCTGTCCACAGGTGGGAGAAATCTGACACTCGGGGAAGTTGATGTAGAATTAGAAAAGAGCAGAGCGCCAGGCCCACGGGGCCCTTGGTGACCTTGGTTGTGGCTTTTGAGCAGAGCTGGCAGGTGAAGAAACTGAGGCAGGAGACGGCTCAGCGACACAGTGGATTAGTGACAGGGTCGGGCCCAGGGCTTCATGCTCGGCTCGCAGCCCCCAGCCCTGCTCCTCACCCCACCCCTGAGGTTCCCCCTGAGGTCCTCCCTTCCTATCTCCAGCCAAGAGCCCAAAGCCCTCCTCTCTTCCCAGCTCCAGCCGAGCTATGGCCACAGTCAGCCCCGATGCTGCCCCACACACAGCGGGAGGAGTGGGCGGAGGTCACACGGGCAGCCCCTTCTCTCTCCTCTGTCTCTGAACTTGAAGCCACCTAGTTATCCCTCCTCTAAGAAGCCTTGTCTGGCTGCCCCTGGCTGGGCAAGGCGCCCTCCCAGGTTCTGAGGGACCCCGTGCAGCTCCCAGTGGGAGCAGTTGGCTCACAGTGGTGTGTTTGTCCATTTATTTCATGTAGCCCCTGGGCAGGGCCTGTGATATGCGTGCCCCAAGCCCAGCGTGGACCCGCACAGAGGGTGCCCAGGGGCTCCTGGGAGGCGGCGGGCAAGCGCACGCCCCTGTGTGGACTGCCGCTCCCTCCCCCTGACTCCCCCACGGCCCCCACATTTGGGGAAATCACACTAACCGCTTCCCTCTTGGGAATCTGTCCCCAGGTTCTTCCATCTGGCACCCGGCGTGTCGACAAGCAGCCAGAACTGAAGACAAAAACAAGGTTGGTGGAATTCACTATTTTCTCAGGTGTATTCTTGACCACTCATGTGTGATTGTCATACGGTTAAGGGGGTGCTGATCAGCAGCTTCAGACTGAATGACCATGGGGACACCCAGCATGCCACGGGGACACGTAGCCTGCCACAGGGACACCCAGCATGTCGCGGGACACACAGCATGTCGCGGGACACACAGCATGCCATGGGGACACACAGCGTACCACAAGGATCTGGGGAAGGGGGGCACTGGGCCGGGGTGGGAGGGCTCTGTGGAGGACAGTACCTCCTCTCTGTGCCCCCCAAGCCTCCCCACCCCCTCCGGCAGCCTCACATGTGGGCCACGCAGGTGCTCGGTCCCTTTCTGTGGCGACCAGGCTGGGCTGGAGGTCGGTAGTGCGTCTCAGCCCTCTCCTCCTCGGAGCAGGCGCCTCCTTCCAACTGGGATCTTGTTTTGCCAGATTTTAACACGATGCAGGTGCTTTGCTCCAGGTCCTACTCAAAGTGTCGCTATAGGCCTCTGATTTAATTTAAATTACGATGACCACCTTTCATTCCTGAAGAGATGAGACCCCTGAGTCAGGCACTGCTGGGCACCGCTCTCCCCGTGGCCGCTCGCTTTCCACCCTCAGGCCTAGGGGAGGGGCGCCCTCCAGGGGCTGGAACCAGGGGTCCTTGCCCTGGGCTAAAGGCAGCTGAGGGGCTGGAGTGAAGGGGCCAGTCCCCCATGGTGAGGGCTCAGGGTCCGAGGGCAGGTCTGTGGCTGCTGAGACCCCAGGGTTGGCAGCATGCCTGAGCCACCACCCATGTCTGCTCCTCTGTCACCCCAGGTGTCCTCTCGAACTCAAATGGCACATTCTGGGGTGACAGCTGGAGAGCCTTGGTGAAGGCGAGAGGGCTGATGACAGCGTGGAAGGAAGCAAGGGACAAAGGAAGCCCCACAGCTGGGAGGGGACCCAGGGGACTTTAGTGGCTGGTCCCACTGCTCCCCAAGTGCCACAGGTGACGCCCACCACCATTTAGGTTGAATTCCCAGAACTGTCACTCCCCACGGCCAGGCCCTGTGCTCCCACTGCCTGGGGACCCAGGACAGTCCCATATGAGTAGGTGCCAGGACGGCGCCCATCTTGAGCCCAGAGCCTGGGACATGTGGGAGGACAAAGAGGGGGCAGAGCCACGTGGCAGGCGTCCTCCCAGCTCTAGGGACGCAGAGCAGGGAAGGCTGCGGGAGGAAGCTGGTGACTGTGTTCATTTCCTGTGGCTGCTGTAATGAATGACCACAAATGCAGAGGCTTCAAAACGCACGGCTGGATCGCCTCGGAGTCTGGAGGTCAGGAGCTGAAACAGCCGCCGGGCCATGCTCCTGTCATCGGTCTGGAGGGGCTGCCGCCCTGCTTGTGCCCACACCGCTCGGCGCCCCTCCTCTCAGAAGGACCCTGCGGTTACATGGAGCCACCCCACGATCCAGGAGGACCTCCCCTCACGCTCCTCAGTCCCATCTCAATGTCCCTTTGGTCACACACGGTGACAGTCACAGGTTTGGCAGATGAGGACGCAGACATGGTTGGGCGTTACTGTGCCTCCCGCAGTTACAGGACCGACAGTCATAGTGCATCATGTGTGTGGCCAGGGTCACAGTAAGTGGCAGCACATTGCGACTGTCCATCGTCCTCTCACTGGCTGATTCGCTCTGCAAACTGCCCCCGTGCCACCCGGGCCTCAGAGATGGGCCAGGCAGCACGTCCTCACAGAGCCATGACCCATGACCCTGAAGTGACCACGGGGGCCTGACCTTTGTCTGTGGACCCCTCCATCCTGACCTGAAGGCCGGGCAAAGGGACCTGCAGGCCGAGAGACGTCCAGACCACACACGTGCATGGATGTGTGCACGGGGGGCCATCTCACGAGACTGGCTGGGGTTGGAAAGGGAGGCCCAGGACCATGGCAGGCCCACTCAAGGACAGGTCAGGGTGGCCAGCACCGGCTCCTGGGTTCTGGACCTGGCTGCTGAGCTGGCTTCAGGGCCTGCAGGGAGCTCCGCCAGCCTCTGCCGTCAGCCTGAAGGCCAGCCCATGATGACCGATACCGTGGCTGCTGGCCCCACAGAAGGGAAGTCCTCCGAAAACTGGAGGACGGAGAAGGAGGAAGGCGTCACTGCCTGGGGCTGCATAGCCAGAGCTGGCTCTCTGGGCTGTGCCCGCAGAAGCTATGGGTGCCCTGGGCCAGAGGCCGGCAGCCTGAGAACGGCTGCCCGCTCCGTGCTGTGCCCAAGCGCTGGATGCAGCTGGGAGGCTGCCCTCCGTGTCCTGGGACAGGATGTAGACCCCGTCATGCCCTGTTTGTCCCCAGGTTCACCCTCCCTTGGTCCCAGCCCTGCTCCAGTCCCTCAGGGACTCTTCTGTCTCCCCAAGAAATGAGAATAACCTCCGGGGCCTGGGCCGGCCGGGGTGGGGCCACGCGTGAGTGGACAGGGCAGGCACACATGGCTTTCTCACTCGTGTCCCTTGGAGATAGTTCTCCCGGCCAGCTGGCCACGCGGGCCTGGAGGGCAGGGAGAGAGAGCTGCTCCTGTGCTGTTTATCCCACGAGAGCCAGCTAGTGAGCATGAGCTAGCCGGCCCCAGCCAGCCCTGGGCATCGCTAGAGGGCCGACAGCCCCCGAGAAACAGCAGAGGTGGTGTGGGCCCCGCTAACTCCCTGTGAGCCAGCCCCCAGCTGGGGTGGCTCCACTCTTACCTGGTGATCGGATGAGAGCTCGCCAGCTCGTCCATCTTGGGAGTATGCTCAGCTGTCGTTTAACAAGTGTCCCTACGTGCCAGGCCCTGGGGGGCTCCGGGGACCCCAGGAGCCAGTTCCCTCCATGCTATTGGAATCCTGCCGTGCCTCTGCTCTGCTGTGTGACCTTGGGCAAATCACTAGCCCTCTCTGAGCCTCCACCCATCGGCTTTAAGTGGGAATGAGTGGGTGTCAGACCCCTCACACAGGGCCGATGAGACTCGTGTGTGACTTTAGTGAGAACGAGTGCCCGAGTGGCTGTTGTAACGGTGCCTCCCCGGGGCCAGGCTGAGCGGTCGGATGGGGCCCTTTCACCTGTGTCGGGGTGCACAAGGCCCCGAGTAACAACCAGCACTGGGCACTGGAGAGGGCAGAGAGAGAGAGGGGGGGCCCCGGTGTCCTGCCTCTGGGGGGGCCTCTGCTCAGCCCCCCCACGTCTGGACTCGGTGGCCGGGGAGTCTCTGCTGCTGACCTCTTTCCACAGGGCTGGGGACTGGCACAGAGAGGGGCATACGCGCGGCCCCCGTACTTGCTCAGGGCCACCCTAAACATGCTCAAGCACGCTGGGCCCCGGGCTGCTGCCGACACAGCCCGAGGGCTCCGTCATGGCGGTGCCCACATAGCTCGGTGCGGCCCCTAATGTGCCAGGAAGTACTCCTGGGGACCCGGAGGACAGCGCCAGTTTAGGGGCCTCCTGTCATGACCCCCGCTTGAACTGAAACAGGAGTAAGGAGGACCTGTCAGAGCCGAGCCCCTCACGGCCGCATCTCTGGGTCGTCAGAAATGGGAAACACCTCCGGCGAGGTTTTTCCATGTTATAGAGAAGGAAGCTGAGATGCAAAGGGTTTTTTAAATGTATAAAATGTATGCGTACATCATTTTGGCCAGTAAAATAAGTGACCTGGCCACAGGGACATCAAGAAAAACAGACCCCATGCACCCCGTCTCGGAGTGGCACCATCTTCATGTGACGTCATGTCTTACGTGGGGGTGGCTGAGGACTCGGGACTGCTCCATGGGGTCAGGCCAAGCTCTGTGGAGAGACCCCAGCCCCTGCCGGCCTTGGGCAGCCTGTGGTCTGAGGGGACAGGCAGACATAGAGGGCTGGGGCCTGAGGGTCTGAGGAAGCAGAGCAGGCCTCCAGGAGGCGGCCCCGAGCTTCAGCCTGGAGGATGCCAGGGCCACACCAGGGCCGCGGAGAGGGGGCGGGCCAGCGTGGCAAGCAGGTCCGGGAAGAGGTGGCCAGCAAGCGTCACGTCCTCTCCTGTTCTCTTCCTTCTAGATGCAGACCCAGGTTGGCACCCAGGTTTGCCCGGGCACCGCCCGCTGGGCCTTGCAGGTTTGTGTGGCCTGGCGTCTGGTCCTGGTGTCGTGCCATCCTCACTGGTGTCGTGCTGAGTGTAGGAGGAGCTGCACGTCCTCCTGGGGAGGGGAGGGCTCCACAGTCTGTTAGTGTCCTGGGGCTTCTGTAGAAAACGCCACAGACCCAGGCCTTAAACGGCAGACTTACTCCCTCCCGGTCCTGCAGGCTGGAGCCTGAGATGCAGGGGAGGGCAGGTGCCTTCCTCCTGAGGCCTCGCTCCTTGGCGTGTACCTGGCCGTCTTCTCCCGGTGTCCTCACGTGGTCGTCCCTCTGTGTGTCTGTGTCCTCATCTCCTCTTCTGATGGGGACACCAGCCAGATAGGACCCGGGCCCCCCATTTTAACTTAGTTATGTCTTTAAAGGCCCCATCTCCAATAGTCACATTCTGGGATGCTGGGTTAGGACTTCCACATGAGTTTTGGGGGGACACAATTCAGCCCGTAACGTGGCCCCTCCCAGGTTGCTGGTGTGACTGCAGCGGGTGGTGTGGGGGGGCTGGACAGAATGATGGGGGTGGGGGAAAGGGCCTGCTCAGGAAGCGAGAGGGAGGCCGCGGGGAGGCCCTCCGTGGAGATGGGTTCCAGTTAGATGGGGAAGGTCGGAGGTGTGGGGCGGTCCAGGCAGAGGTGGGTGCTGGGCCAGGAGAGGGGTGTGGAGCTGCCAGGTCCCGGCCTGCAGGTGGGATGGACACAGGTGCGGCGAGTGGGTGGGAGCTGGAGAAGGAGAGTGTCCACGCAGAGGGAGAGAGGAGGTGGTTCCAAACAGCAGCGGGCATGCGAGCAGGTTACATGCGTGACAGCCACCAAGAGGCCCGAGCCGTGACCAAGGGCTCAGTGGTGAGTGGCCAGCAGTGACCTCAGGAGGCTCGTTTCTAAGACACGAAGGCTGCCGGTGCTGAGAAAGGCATTGGGGGAGGGGGAGCCAGAGGGCTGTGAAGGGTGGGGCCATGGAGTAGGGCAGGAGAATGGTCGTTAGGGTCATGAGACCGTCCCAAAGTCTGACAACAGAGCCCGGGGTGGGAGAATGAGTCCCACTCATCTCCGTAACTTAGGTGGCAGCTCTGAGCAGTAAAATGCTGGGGACGAGAGACGGCCTTTGCCATTGAACACACAGAATCATTGGAAAATGCATCGCTTGCTCTTGTCCTCTGAAAAACAGATAATTTCTGCACCGTGAAAGCTTGGCGATCGTTGGAACTGAGAGCTTTTCTGCTTTGCCTGTAGCCTGTGTCACCCACTGTGTCTGTTTGATTATAGCTTTCCAGTCATCCATTCAAGCCTGCCTGTTTATTTTAAGAATTCTTTCCACCTGCCAGTGAAAACAGCTGTCTTGTGAGCCGGCGTTTCTGTTGGTGTGTGACTGTGACAGTTGCCTCTGGAAGGACCTTCCCATTGATAGGTTCTGTTTTCAGTCTCCTTCTGTCCCCTCGTTTTCCAGGAAACCAGAACTTCCTCCGAGAGCATCATTTCTGTGCCTGCCTCCAGCACCTCAGGGTCTCCCAGCCGTGTGATCTATGTAAGTTGGAATCTTTCTATGAAGAGTGGGGAGCAGATGGGGGCCTGGGGTCATTGCTGAGGATGCCCTCAGGGCTGGGCATCCTGGGGTGGGGGGGCATCAGGTGTGGGGCCAGCCCTGCTGCCGGTGGAGGTTGGTGCACACTTTCAGAGGCTGACTCGGAGCCTGTCTTCGATGAGGACGTAGCTAGCCTTTGACCCAGCAGCTCCCTGGTTATGTAGCAGCAAGTGCACAAAAGATGTGCTCGCGGCTGCTGTCATGATGGTATAAGAATATTCGACTTCGCCTCCTCATCCAGCAGCCAGGGCTTGCCTGAATAAAAGCGTTTGGCACATCCGGGACTGGGCTGGCGCTGTGAATAACGGTGCAGAGCTGTCGTGTTACCGTGGGGAGTGTGCCTGACGTGCTCCTAGAAGCGTGTTAAGCACAAGGTGTACTCTGATCCCATTTTTGTTAGAGGGTGTGTGTATGTGTGTTTGTATGAGTGTATGAGGTTGGACAATTTAGTTCGCGAGCTTGTTGCAACGATGTTGCTAACCTGTTTTGATATCAGAGGGATTATTCATTATGAATTTACACCAACTGGACAGTTAGCCAACTTTATTATTTAGAAGTGCTGAAAAGGCTGCGTGAAAAAGTTAGGTGACCTGAACTCTTCGCCAACAATTCATGGCTCTTGCATCACGACAATGCACCAGCTCACGACACTGTCTGTGAGGGAGTTTTTAGCCAGTAAACAAATAACTGTATTGGAACACCCTCCCTACTCACCTGATCTGGCCCCCAGTGACTTCCTTCTTACTCAAAGATAAAGGAAATATTGAAAGGAAGAGATTTTGATGACATTCAGTACATCAAGGGTAATATGACCTCAGCTCTGATGGCTATTGCAGAAAAAGAGTTCCAAAATTGCTTTGAAGGGTGGGCTAGGCGCTGGCATCGGTGCATAGCTTCCCAAGGGGAGTACCTCGAAGGTGACCGTAGGGATATTCAGCAATGAGGTATGTAGCACTTTTTCTAGGATGAGTTTGTAAACATAATTGTCCAACCTCATATGTGTAGCATGTGTATGGGTGTGTGTATGTGTACGAGTGTATACGTATACACATGTATTTGTAGTACTTGTGTGTATTCACAAGTGCGTATATATGTGTTTGTATGCATACACGCATGCATGTGTGTTGGTATGTACACGTGTATCCATGTATTTGTGTGTGTGCATAAATGTGTGCATGCATGTTTGCACACACGTGTATGCATACACGTGTATGTATGTGTGTTTGTATGTGTTAATCTGTATGTATACATCGATATCTGTATGTATTTTTAGGCCAGGGACTGAATCTCACTATCTGGTGGCACCAATGCCAGGCATGTCACAGGCACCACCTGTTTGACCATGGAGCTGTCCCAAGGGACCATCTCCCCCACTTTGTAGAGAGGCAGTGGGGACTCGGCCATCAGTGACCATGAGGTCTCCTGCCCTGGTGGCTTTGACCCCTTGGCTCGTTTCATCCACGCTCAGACTCGTGTCTCCACATGGCTGCCAAGCGCCTGCCCTCTGTGCAGGGTCTCACATGCCTGCTCTGCTCTTTGTCTCCTTGCAGGCTAAGCTGGGAGATGAGATTCTCGACTACAGAGACCTGGCTGCTCTTCCTAAAAGCAAGGCCATCTATAACATTGACCGCCCCGACATGATCTCCTACTCGCCCTACATCAGCCACTTGGCGGGAGACAGGCAGAGCTGCGGCGAGGTACGGCCCCGCTGGTGTCCTCGGCCGGCCTGCTGCGCGGGTGGCGTGCCCACAGCATGGGCCGCATCACTTCCATCCTCACTGGTCTCCTGTGACACTTGGCCTTCGTCACTCCCGCTGGATAACCTGCACACCCTGTTTAGAGAATCCCCAGTGTGCTCTGCCCCGACGTCCCTGGGCAGACGGCACACAACACACCGAGGACTGAGCCTGGAAAAGCCCCTGTGTAGGGCAGACAGCAGGAAGCTGGTGTTTAGGAAAATGATAGGAGCGAAGTGAGAGTCCCTCTGTTTCCTGAGGCTTGGGAGGATTTTCTTAGTGTATGGAAGGTGTCATTTCCTTTTATCCAGAACGTTCCAGGCCTTGCTCCGCCCTCACCAGCCGAGGCCTGCTTCTCTGCCCCGTGCCTTCCTGAGCTGGTTGAACCCCAGGTGACTTATTTTGAAGCGTCCCTGTGGGTAGCATCCTTTACTGCTGACTTCTTAGTCACGGCCGCCCTTCTCCTTTTAATGAGGGGACCACTGTCGGTTCCCGCTTTTCTTGTGGTGGTTTTGAGATTTCAGTATGACCGTGGTGCCTGGGATAAAAGGGCATCTTCCGGCTGTGAACTTGGGTGTGTGTGCCATCTGTGGCCCGGCACGGGGCTCCCCCTGGAGCAGGAGCGCTCTGTCCCTCCGTGCGTGTCCCTGGCCCTTCTGTTTGACTCTCTTGCAAAGGGCCTCTTGGGTAGTGAGGCTGGGACTCCAGGGGCGCCATGCTTGAGTGGGTGGCCCTGCTGACACCTGGATAGCTTCTGCAGTCACAGCTGTGGAGCACACAGGCGAGAGGGGGAGAGGAACCCTCTTTCCCTGCTCAGAGGCCCGCAGGATGGGGAGAGGAACCCTGCTTTCTTGTTCAGAGACCTGCAGGTGCCACTCCTGAGGACACACGGGACCCCAAGGATCTGGGTGATAAATTCCATTAAGAGAGACCGGTGTGCGGGGCAAGAAGGGAGGGCCCGGACCTGCACCCACCGACCATGTGCCTGAGCGGGGCCTGGGCCTCGTCATTCAGCACCTGGTCTGAATTCTGGTGGAAGCCACTGGAAGAGGGTCTGAGAGGCCGAGTGATGCGGCCCGGCCCTAGAGCAGGGGTCTGTGGGGGCGGATGGTGCTCACCTGCCCTAACAGGAGGTGCCTGGCTGGGGAAGCCCAACGCCACCACCGGCAGAGCTGGCCCTCACCCTGGACCCCAAGGACCCAGAAGTTCTCTCTTACTCTGAGCCCCTTTTCCCTCTTGTCTAGAGCAAACCGAGGGTGATGGGCCACCCCATGAACCAACAGTCTTCCTTTTGGACAAATGTCTTCTCGGGAGAGCAGTGGGGCACTCGGGGTGGGCCAGGATGGAGGCAAGCTCCAAGGCGGGCACAGAACAGTACCCTGGGACCTCTTTCTTGGGGTGCCATTGGTTGTATTTCTCCAAGAAGGAGGTTTTGGAGCCCCATGCTTGGTCTCGTGGTGGGTTCCTCTCCCACGTGGAAGGGGTCCCATCGTGTGAGTGTGTCTGTGCCCCGTCCTGTCTCTCCCACAAGTGGCCGCTTGGTGCCCAGGCGCTAACAGGCCGCTCCGTGTTGTATTTACAGTCCCCTCAGTTACTCTCGCCAACGCCGACTGAGGTAACCGCTGCCCCAGCCCACCCCCACCCTCACCCCCACCCCCACCCCCGTTTGCTCATGGTGCTGCTGCCCGGGTTATAAAGATAACCGCCCGCCGCCCCCAGGACGGCCTCTGTGGCTCCTGACTGTGGCGTCTGGGGCCATGGCGCTCCGTGGCTTGGGGCGCCCACCTTGGTGTTGGTTATTTTTATAATCACCTCTCACCTGCATGCTTCCCTGGCGCGTCTGCCGGCCCTGCAAATGCAGCACGTGGTACACATGGCTCTTGAGGTCTGGGTCATGGCTTCCTCAGAGAAAACATCCAGGAGCCTGGGGTAGCCTGGGACCACCTCACGTGCCTCCGAGGGGGACATCCAGGAAGTCCTCGCAAAAGTATATCCTGGAAGCGTTTCTGTGTCAAATAGCATCTATAATTAGCAGCCCTCGTTTGTCCTATTTCTCAAAATTAATCAGTGACATAAATCGCTGCCACCCAGACTCCAGTCTGCCTGAGCATCAAACCCTTGGATCCAAGAATGTGACAACCAAACTGTGCAAGTGGCCGGCGAACCCCATGGACAGGCTAGGCAAGGAGACGGGACACCTTTGAGTATAAACTGGCCGACGGGCTATGCAGAGGACACCCAGAGATGGAGACTAAACAGCAGGGCTGTAACTGCCCAGCAGAGTGCATCTCCGTGGTGGGACAGGCCAGAGGACTTGGGGTGAAGCGCGGGTGGGAACTGGCAGGTGTGCTACCTGCACGAGGGCTGGCCTGAGCTAAGTGTGGAGGTGGACGCACAGGCAGGCGTTAGGGACAGTGGCTCGGCCGGCTTGGCTGCAGAGCGAGCCCTCGGAGGCAGAAGGTCAGCCGGGAAAGGCGTGGGAGCCCTGAGTACCAGACCCAGACTCTCGCATTGCTCATCCCCACACTGGGCCGGGCTGTCATGACGCAGGCCAACATGCTAAGCGTGGTGGGTCCGGCAGCCTGCCCTTCCCCCCACACCATGTGCCATGCCATCTCACGCCACCTGCCGCCCACTCTGACCGCTCCAGACAGTTGCCCATCCTGCTTGAATGGAGTCTGCATTGTCAGTGCTTGTGGGTCTGACTCAACTGGGCCTCTGGGTCCGAGAAGGGCGCCTTTCTACCTCCCACACCCGGGGAGCCTCCCCGTCAGGCTGGGGAGGACACAGAATCTCAGTGGTTCTGAAACTGTGCCCAGGAGCTTTGGGTACCTGGAAGGATTGGGCAGAAGGTGGAATCAGGTGCCTTCACCACCTCTGTAGGTGCCCCAGCCTCAAGGAGGGGCTGGCGGAGGGGTGGGGCAGGGTCCTGCCCCCAGTACCTGCTCAGGCCTCCGGGAGTGTCAGCACCAAGGCCAGGCCCCCACCTGGCTCTTCAGATGTGGCCTGGCAGGTGCGGGGGTTCCATTTTGGGGCCATGTTGAGTCAGCCTCTTGGGTCAGGAGAGCAGACGCCGAGTGGAGGGTGGGTGGGTG